TTTTTTTTTTTGCGGAACCGGGGATTGAACTCAGATCCTTGCGTTTGCTGGTCAAGCGCTTATCCTACTGAGCCATCTCCCCAGCCCCAAGAAATACATTTTATTTTTTTTGCAGAACCGGGGATTGAACTCAGGCCATTGCGCTTGCCAGGGAAGCACTTATTCCACTGAGCCATCTCCCCAGCCCCTGTTCCTGCTCTTCTGAACAGAATCAGTATTTATATTTAAGGATTTCTCTAGTATGTTTACCTAGGGATAAATGTGCCTTGTCCCAGAGTGTGAAAGTTCAGCTTCGTAAAATATACCAGGCTGTTTTCCAAAGTAATTGTAACAGTGAATACAACAGCAGTGTATTAAAGCCCCCATTCCACAACTGTTCCAATTTTGTAACATCAGAGCTTTCATTTTTGTCAAGTAACTGTGTGTACAGTGATATCATGTTGTGTTCTAAATCTGTATTTCCCTATTTACTGATAAAGTTGGCTGTCTTGTCATGGGTTATGTTCTCCTCCGATGGTCTACTTATTTGTCTTTTGTTTATTTTCTGTTGGTCTCTGCTTGTTTCTCTCCTTTTTTAATTGACTGATAAGAATTCTTCATAATTCTGGATTCTAAGTTTTTCCAGTTTTGTGTGTTGTGAGGAGTGTGTCCCAATTCAGTGCTTATGCTAACCCTAACCCTAACCCTAACCCTAACCCTAACCCTAACCCTAACCCTAATGTCTTGATGTCTTTTTTGAACAAAATTCTAATATCAGCAACCTTATCAGTTTTTTCTTATATAGTTAACTTTTACTGTTTCTTGCTTTAAAAATCCTTCATTCCCTGTCTTAAATATTCTTTTAAAGGTTGTGAAGTCCTTTCTTTTTACTTTAAATCTAGTGCACTGACATTGACTTTTGTATATGCTAACCAGTTATCTCACCACAGTTTCTTCAGTGGTATGCTGTACTAAATCTCTTACATATCAAGTTTCATAAATCTGTAGGCCTGTTTCTGTACTTTCTATTATGTTCCACTGGATCAATTTATTTATCCTGTGCCAGTAATGCACTATATTAATTTCCATAGCTGTACAATAATAACTGATAGTTTATAGAACAAGTCTCCCCACCCACTCCATCTCCTTCTGGAAGAATGTATTGAACGGCCAGGGATATAGTTCAGCAGCACAGCGCCTGCCTGGCAAATGTAAGGTCATGAGTTCAACTTCCAGTACAAAAAAAAAAAATGCATTTTCATATAAATGTTATATTCAGCGTTTCAAGTTTCATGAAAATTCCTAATGGGATTTTTATTAGAATTACATAGAATTTATAGAGTATGTTGAGAATAATTAACATGTATACAATAATTGTTCTCCAATGTTTGAACACAATATGTCTCTCTATCTGTTTAGTTCTCTAGTTATTTTTGGTAAATTTTTATACTTTTTGTCTAAGGTCTTATGTATTTACAAGCAAAAGCTTTTATATATATAAAAAAGTAAAGTTCATTGGAAAGGGATTGTACTTCCACTTAATGGGGATAAAAAAAACCAAACACATCATTTATAAGAGAATTAAAATATGAAATAGTGATAAAACATATCACCAAATTTATAAGACCTATATCCAGAAAACTAGAAAATGTTACAGAGAAATTGAAGATTTCAAGAAACATTTTAAGATTAAAAAACTTGAATGGGGGCCGGGGAGATGGCTCAGTGGAATAAGCGCTTCCCTGGCAAGCGCAAGGGCCTGAGTTCAATCCCCGGTTCCGAAAAAAAAAGAAAACACTTGAATGGGGCTGGGGAGATGGCTTAATAGAATAAGCACTTGCCTGGCAAGCACAAGGGCCTAAGTTCAATCCCCAGTTCTGAAAAAAAAAAAAAAAAAAGATAAAAAATTTGAAGGTAATAGTTTTTAACAACTGATCTAATAATCTAATTCCAATGACAATTCTAGATTTTGTTTAATTGTCAGGCTTTTCTAAAATTGATATGAAAATCCAAAAGACTCACAACCATTAAGACAATTTTGAAAAGGAAGAAAAACTTTAGGGGCTGGGGAGATAGCTCAGTAGAATAAGTGCTTGCCTGGCAAGTGCAAGGGCCTGAGTTCAATCCCTGGTTCTGCCAAAAAAATAAAGAGGAAAAAAAAAAAAAAGAAAGAAAGAAAGAAAAACTTTAGAAGCCTAATTAGACATTATTTCCAGGATTAGTATCTACTTATAGCATGTTATTTACTCTTTTAGCTTCTCACACTAGGGAAATGCTCACACATACAAGTCTGCGTTATTTCACTTATGAGTTGGAATCAGCTTGTATAATTTTAACTACAAAAGGCACCAGTTCATCCTTTTTATGGTT